TTTGATGTGGGGAGTTAGGACATGTCGGTGGCGTGAAGAATCTAGGGATCATTAAGAAATAATCCTCGAGATCTCGCTTTTTATGGATGGAGATGGTGATGGGCCATTTTTTGAGGAGGATGTGAGCTGTAATGGTCTGATGTATAAGCCGAACAGAGCATCAAATGGGGAAGCGAAGGGAAAGGAGTCAAGTCGAAGACGCGGTACCTCGAATTAAGAGAAGAAAAGACAATGGAGTTATTATCTTCTTCAACTAATTTCAAACCTTCTTTTTTTTTTTTTTTCTTTTTCGAAGAGAGACATTAAATATTCGATTATGGGATTTGCAAAAAAAAGTTCGTTTTCATGGCGTAATAATTTACTTCTTGTTCTGTAAACTATCTACTAAATAAAATTACCAAATTGCTGTGTCGTTTTGTGCTGGATGTATTTTAATATCCAAAGATATATAGGAAACCACATCCAATTAAGAAACCAAATCTCACTTACACATGTGGAACAAGAACTTTCCTCAATTGTCTTTCCAAAATCTGTTGGTTGCTTAATATTTAATTTTATGCGAATTACCATTTTTTTTCTTTATTAAGTGTTGTGGCAGTTTTCTTTTTCTTTTTCCTTTTTTTTTTGGGGGGGGGGGCATAAAAAGTGTGGGAGAGTAATAATTTTAGTCGACATGAGTTATTATTTCACTCATTTTTCTTACTTGCGGTTCAAGTTGTTCGGGCTGGAAAAGGAAAGAGCCAATAAATTTTCTGACACCACATTCAAATTTCTTCCTGACACGAAATTAGAACACCTTATTTGGATGTAAGCCCATTTCTTCCATAAACCTGACTCTGTATTTGCCAATCTGGGTCAGTAACCATTTAGCCTTGCGCAGTTTATAGCCCAATGTTTATGAATCTAATCTTACGGCCCAGAGTGTAGTTAAATGAGACTCTAATAAATAATTACAAAGAGTTCAATTTCTGAACTTTATCTAATAAATTTATGGTCAAGCACAAATACCCAGTAGTTAATATCAGTAAAGAAACCTTTATTACAAAGCATCTGGTGAACTCAATACATTCAGTAAAATTTCTGAATGTATCCCCTCACTATTATATGCTCATCCATCGCATATAAACATACGCAAATTAAGGATCATTTTATATAATAAATAAGTAGGTAGTGTCTGGAATATATATAGCACACACACACGTGTGTGTATATATATATATATATATATATATATATATCCAGATGAATGAAGTTTTGATAGGGGAACTCTTTTCATCAGCTCCTTGATCATCGGACTGATATCTAATTTGGTGATTGCATTGCGCGCTGCTGCTCCTAAATTTGGTTCCACTTCCGTTGCCTATTGCTGGTCTCCCTTTCCCTGCAACCAATGCGCATCCCAATTTCTTCCCCAGTACTCACTAAATTTTTTTTCATTAATTTAATTATGATTACTATATAAATCCCGAATATATTATACATATACATGCGTTTATTAATATATAATATATATATATATATGTGTGTGTGTGTATGCATACATGTGTTTTTCTCTCTAATTGTCATTGGGCGGCAGCTGAATTAAATATTACCGATAGAAAATTCATAAGATTCTAAAAGGCTGCATGACAACGGCAGGAGTTGAAATTATGTCAGAGTAAGTCTACTGCACTGGCCCTACTCATTATTGTTTATATACATACATATATATATATATCCAATAATTTAATTTAATATTATTCTAATATTAATCAAATTAATCACGACTAAATTCCCTCTTCGAGAATATCCACAATCCAGCAGACAGACTCCATGCCAGTAATATTCCTTTACATACATACATACATATATATATATACATATGTAACGTTTATATGAGAGGCGTAGGTTACTCACCTGAAATTGATCAAAGCAATGGAAATGTGGCATCCAAATTTTGAAGGGGATCTATCCATCATTTCTACCCGAAATATTATTGCATTTTCTGCCTTCTTCTTTCCCAACTCTTCATCTTCTTCCTGTACTAATGCTGTCTCTACAAATTAAATCATGGAACACTGAGCATCGAAAGCACCGATCATCAATGTCTTTTCACCACTTTTTTTTTTTTTTTTTTTTTAAAAAAAATCATGAAATCAAAGAAAAAATTAAGTAAAAAACATTCAAAATTAGAATGAACTAATCAAAGAGTGGAGAGAGAATTCGTGTATACGTACGTACCTCCAATCTGATTGAGAGACGCCGAAGAAGAAGGTGAAGAGAATAATACCGAACAGTAAGCAGCAGGAGCCAAAACCATGGAAGATCCAGTATACCTTCTTCAGATCACGCACATATATACAGAATGTTACTTCACCACTGAGTCTGCGTGTACTGTACACAAATGTAGCTAATATAATTACTCAGGAAAAAAATAGCTACCCACAAATACTATATATATATATATATATACACACATGAAGAATTTGGAAGCAATTTGTCTGCAGAATTTTTGGTGGGCTGAGGATGAAATCTGGATCATAGGATAAATAAAGAATAAAGGTGGGTGGTTAGGTTCATTGAACCTGGTCAGTTTATCAGAAGGTAAGGGAGGGAATTGTACGTGAAGAGTAAAGACACGTTGATTAAATCATGACACCGACCTTATGCTCGATTCCTGTAAATGGGAAAAAAAAGTGATGGTTTAAATAACCCCCCCTACCTAACAATTAATTAACTAATATTAATATACTCCTTTAAAAAATATTAACTCTTTTATAATAATAAAATAAGAAATATAATCAAACGGTGAAGTGCACCGTTTTATGAAGTATGAGAGAGAGCTACTAGAGAGCGCGCGCACACACACGTATATATATATGTAGATAGACAGATTACAGCGTATATATATAATGTTAAATAATAATTAACCATGATTATATTATTTCCAGAGCCTAACAAGCACTTAATATATTATTTTTGACGAGTTTGTGTTAACGGAAAATCTGACATTGATATAACACTTTATATTAATTTTATCAATAATATATTAATGAATTAAATTTTAAATTTTATTAAATTAAAATATTATAAATTCGTCACAAAATAATTTTACGCAAATTGATGTTTATATATGAAGTTGAATTTCTCACATGGTTTATTTATTGATTATTATAAAGAGAGAGGATGGGGGGGGGGGGGGGGCCATGCCATTTTTGACTGCTTCCCTCGTTCTTCAACCAAAAAGCTAATTGCCACGTGCTAATTTATAAAAACATATTATATCATTCCTTACGTAATAATTTTACGAGTTTGAAAATTATTTTATTATATTAATCAACTGACTCAATCTGTTTATATTATATTAACGGAAAAATTAAGAGTTTAATCATATTTTACCCGAGATAATCTAAAATCACTTAAAAATACAACGGTACCAGCAACTTTTTACTATTTGAGGTCGTATATATACTGTGTGTGTATGTATATATATATAGACCAGGTTAATGCAATTGCACCTACCCGTACCACCTTTGCAAGGAAATACTCGCATTCTACTTTTTATATTTACCTTTGTGTCACATCATTATCATTAATTCAATTCGAAATTTATTTTCTTTTTTCTTTTCCAGAAAATTGTCAATACCTTTGTAATGTAGTTAAATTTGTGATAACATTTGACTATATTATTTGGATAGTTCCCTATAAAGATTTGTAATTAAGCTTAATCCCCAATTAAATTATAATATATATATTTTTTTTTTTGCTATTTGATTTTATATTCCGAAATTTTTTTTTTTATCTTTTTAACTGTATTTTAATGATCAAATTATGATATTAAGCTAAAAATCTAAAATACAACACAGTTTCATACGTAAAATAACATAAAACGATAACAAGAATAGAATAATCAGATGTAACTTTAATAATACTATAATAATTAAGGTAAAAATGAAATTATTAGGAATCAACCAAAATATAATGAATAAAATAGAACTGGATTATAACCTCCTAAGGTTACTTGAAACAAATCAAGAATTTATTTATTTTTTATTAAAAAAAAAAAATTCATTTGAAAATTTATACCTAATTTTAACTGCAAGAGAGAGAATATTCGAGCTCCTAAAAATTTTTATAAAGAATTGAGAAAATACATTTCAAATTTCACCAGTGTTGTACCAAAATTGATAAAATTTAAGACACATTATTCCAATTCTATTTCAAAAAGATTTTTACAAGTTCATTTTTCATCATTTTCTGAGAAATTATTTGTCAACCACAGTTTAAATTTAAACAGAGGTGTGAATTTTCTAATGAATTTTATAGAAATTCTTGATTTGTTCCGAACAATACCCAAGACTCAAACAGTGCTGAACTGCCATTTCCTCATAAACATCCTTGTGCAAGTGAAAGCAAAAGCTTTGACAAGATCCGCGAGTCTAGTTGTGCACAGTGTTGCCTGATACACCCAGGTTTTATAAAGAGTCATCTGACATGGGGAGAAGATGGAGAGGGAGAACTTACAATTCTAGGCGCCTCTTTTTGCACATGGATGACCGATTGCTACAGACTAACGAGATTATATTTACACACAGTTGCCCCTCCTTGGAACTATAACTGTAGAATCCTTCCAATCGCTTGCACAGCTTCAGATTAGCCCAAGTTATCACATAAGCAATTGGTAGATTGCTAGGTGCCGCCTGGAGATAATAGTGTCGCTCTTGCAGTTCGTTTGAATGGGTTTGAGGGTTGAGGATAGATACAGGAAGACTGAAGGAGAGATGATTATAAAGTCGTATCCATTGGATAGCAACCAAGTACACGAAGAAAAGTTGCAAACTCCTGCAGTAGAATAACAAAATCTTTGTAAGGAAGATCTAGATAGAATGCGAGTGTGTATAAAATAGAGAAAAATGTTCCGACGAAAATGAAAATGCCGCATGTTCGTAAATAGGGCTAGGAGAAAACAAGTATCAAAGAACAGAGCCAAGACTAGCTGATTTTCAGGGAGGACTGACTTGTAAGAGAGAGAGGAGGGATAAGAAAATTTCTTATTGACCTTATTTGATATGGTACCAACTCAGTCTCAATGTCACAACATGCTTTTTTGGCATAGCCCTTTTCTTAACCTTATTTGGTAGGGTAGCTAAGAGGATAAAAATTTTAAAAGACGAGAAAAATTTTTTATAGATAAAAGACAATTGATGTTTGGACTCCTTCACCTTATTGATTGAGAAGTGCAAAAAAATATACCTGCAGATGTCCTAAGGCATTTTGTGCACGGGGCTCAGCCATAGAAGCCTCGAAATCAATATAGAAAAGGTAGTCAAAATACCTGTAACAATTTAAAAAAAAAATAAAAAATGCAAATAAAATTCAAAATGAATTGAGAACAATAATCTGGTAAATTGCTTTGTCTTCACTGTCTGATTTGGGTGTGTGCATAGGAATTTACCAAAGCACGTTTATCTGATCATTTTCATATTTGTAACAGTTTGCTTTTGTCTAGTCTACGCTTGTTTTAATAATAATGTGAACCATCATTCGTGCTCAACCATGAACCCTGTATTGGAACAGAGGCAATACTTTTGGCACACAGGAATTGTAATGATATCGTAATGCCATCAGTGCGACAGCATGTAAGCACCAGATTCTCCCGGTACCATGTAAGCACCAGATTATATATTAATACAAGACTCAGAACACTCACTTCGCACTGCCGGTGTTAGAGTCATCAACCACTCTCAGAGGCCGTTTTCTCTGCGGTCGACTTTCAATCTGTAGTTGTTCAGAGATGAAATAAGTCAAAGAATAGGTTACTGTACAACTAAGAAAAAGAAAAAACAGATGAGTTTTCAACATACCTTGGTCAAATTTATATCCCTTAATGCAAACACTGCCAAGGCTTTAAACAACACTCCAGGGCCCTCCTCCAAAGTAAATACAATGCTTGTCTGGAGGGCAACGATAGTTAACTTAAGGATTTTCTCAGTAAAAAGATATGTTGTTCATATGGGTAAACAAAAATCTCACTCGAAATGGCTTATTAGTTCTTGGAATTATAGGATCTCTAGCAAGCACCAGAAAACGAGTGACATTATCCAAGTCATCCTGGATAAAGACGAGAGCTTTTAGCAAACAGGGCAGAATGTGTTAACAAAAGAAATTTTATCCACAAAGCTGTATTCACAACCAAAGTTAAAAGATTCATAGACAATCAGAATTATTTGATGCATCACCCACTTAAGTTCCAACACAGGAATTGTTGGGAGAACAGCCCAATCAATCATCAAATCCATGCTCATTTTTACCCCATCAAACCTCATTTTATTGAGTATTTGCACAAAAAGGAGAGTTCATGGACAAAGTAAAGTGCACATGCAACCACGTAAGCTCATTGTAAAATTAAGAAACCACTTGCCGAATCATACTTGAATAGTAGACCAGATGTTATAGTGCATCAAGATGCACTTGTACACTTGCAAGTACCCCATCACACTCGAAAAATAAAAGGTTAAAGGCATCTTTTTTTTTTGTTTTTTTAAGAAGGAAAACCTGTTTTGTATTAAACATACCAAAGGGTGCTGCCCATATACAAATAGATAATATATCAATAAGATCTGTAGATCGCCATCAGAGTTAAGAGGATGACCATTAAGCCAAAAAGAAGGATCTGAGACTCTGAACTAAGAATCTCTGATCCTAGAAAAAGAGTAGCAACAATTACCAATCATTGCTTTTTTCCTTCCCCATTACA